CACCAATGTCCATAATCGTTAATAAATGTCTATAAATGTCCTTAAATGTGTTCTGGGTCATCATCCTTAGACCCTCATGTGATACAACACTGAAATTTCCTTTCTTGCGACAAAGTAGCAGAATTGCGACACAGGCTTCAAAATCCAGGACACTTTCTATAAGCCTTCACACATTTTTTTTTCATTCTTTCTTCAATAATGTATTTCTAGTTTTTATTAAAGTAGACCCCCAATTAAGTTGTGGGTCTCTCCTTTTGTCTATTTCACAATACATAATGAAAAAAAAGGTTTTTCTTTAATTAAGTTGATTTATTTATTTTGTATTTAATCGAAAAACATACATACATACATGGGGAGAAGGGGGGCTTTTTAGTTTATTTTTTAATTTTTTTGTGTGTGCATTGATCAATTATCCAAGCGTACCGATGGGAATTGGTGGTATGGTGTACGTTAACTGGGGCGAGTGATTATTTATTTTTGAGTTCAATGTTCATCGAACATTATTAACAGAGGTCACTACATACAGTGCCTTGCGAAAGTATTCGGCCCCCTTGAACCTTTCAACATTTCGCCACATTTCAGGCTTCAAACATAAAGTTATAAAAATTAAATTTTTTGTCAAGAATCAACAACAAGTGGGACACAATCGTGAAGTGGAACAACATTTATCGGATAATTTAAACTTTTTTAACAAATAAAAAACTGAAAATTGGGGCGTGCAATATTATTCGGCCCCCTTGCGCTAATACTTTGTAGCGCCACCTTTTGCTGCAATTACAGCTGCAAGTCGCTTGGGGTATGTTTCTATCAGTTTTGCACATCGAGAAAGGAAGAATGGGAAGAATGGGAAAGAATTCCAGTCGGAATTCTTTCCCATTCTTCCTTGCAAAACAGCTCGAGCTCAATGAGGTTGGATGGAGAGCGTTTGTGAACAGCAGTCTTCAGCTCTTTCCACAGATTCTCGATTGGATTCAGGTCTGGACTTTGACTTGGCCATTCTAACACCTGGATACGTCTATTTGTGAACCATTCCATTGTAGATTTGGCTTTATGTTTTGGATCATTGTCCTGTTGGAAGATAAATCTCCGTCCCAGTAACAGGACAGACTTTTCTGGAAGAAACCAGGGTTTTCTTCCAGAATGGTCCTGTATTTGGCCAATTTTAGCCATCTTCCCTGTCCCTGCTGAAGAAAAGCAGGCCCAAACCATGATGCTGCCACCACCATGTTTGACAGTGGGGATGGTGTGTTCAGGGTGATGAGCTGTGTTGCTTTTACGCCAAACATATCGTTTTGCATCGTGGCCAAAAAGTTTGATTTTGGTTTCATCTGACCAGAGCACCTTCTTCCACAAGTTTGGTGTGTCTCCCAGGTGGCTTGTGGCAAACTTTAAACAAGACTTTTGATGGATATCTTTGAGAAATGGCTTTCTTCTTGCCACTCTTCCATAAAGGCCAGATTTGTGCAGTGCACGACTGATTGTTGTCCTATGGACAGACTCTCCCACCTCAGCTGTAGTTATCTACAGTTCATCCAGAGTGATCATGGGCCTCTTGGCTGCATCTCTGATCAGTCTTCTCCTTGTTTGAGATGAAAGTTTGGAGGGACGGCCGGGTCTTGGTAGATTTGCAGGGGTCTGATACTCCTTCCATTTCAATATAATTGCTTGCACAGTGCTCCTTGAGATGTTTAAAGCTTGGGAAATCTTTTTGTATCCAAATCCGGCTTTAAACTTCTCCACAACAGTATCTCGGACCTGCCTGGTGTGTTCCTTTGTCTTCATGGTTCTCTCTGCGCTTTAAACAGAACCCTGAGACTATCAAAGAGCAGGTGCATTTATACGGAGACTTGATTACACACAGGTGCATTCTATTTATCATCATCAGTCATTTAGGACAACATTGGATCATTCAAAGATCCTCACTGAACTTCTGGACTGAGTTTGCTGCACTGAAAGTAAAGGGGCCGAATAATATTGCACGCCCCACTTTTCAGTTTTTTATTTGTTAAAAAGGTTTAAGGGGCGACAGAAGCTCAGTTGGTAGAGCATTGGCCTTCAGGCCTGAAGGTCGTGGGTTCAATTCCCACCTCTACACCTTCTCCACCGACTCCCACTGATGACTGCTGTCGTTGTGTCCTTGGGCAAGACACTTAACCCCACTTTGCCCAAAGCCCCCACTGAAAGATCAAGGCTATGTTCACACTCGGAGAGCAGCCGTCCTCCTGTGGACTCACCACCTGCAGAGGGTCAGTGAGGGGCTGGTGCTATGAGACTTGGGTGGCATCTCTGATTGCCACCCCCCTGACCCAGAAATGGATTAAAGGGTAGAAGATGGATGGATGGATGGATGGAGGTTTAAATTATCCAATAAATTTCGTTCCACTGCACGATTGTGTCCCACTTGTTGTTGATTCATGACAAAAAATTAACATTTTATATCTTTATGTTTGAAGCCTGAAATGTGGCAAAATGTTGAAAAGTTCAAGGGGGGTGCCTTGCGAAAGTTCAATACTTTCGCAAGGCACTGTAGAGTTGTCTAGCTATTCATTCATTTACAATTGCTCATTACAATATTGTGCATTATTCTCAACTCAAAAAACCAGTGGTAGGATAAAAATCTTCCACCCCTGTGATCTTATTAAATCTCGTGTTTGTTTTCATCCACTTGTAGCTACATCAGAGTAATTGTTGTTTGTCTGTTTCATTATTACTTGAACTTTATCTTGTACTATTGGTGACACCTTTCTTGTTAGAAATTGTACCTTTCTTGACACATACTTTTTATTGGCTGATATTTGAGCTGTATCAGAAATTGAGTTTTGTCATCTTGTGAATGTGTGCAATATTGAACAGTTGTACACTCTGCATCCTAAACATAATAATGAAAATTGACGGCTTCACTTTTGCTCTGGACATAGAAAGTGTTTGGCTTGATTTATGTTATAGCGTTTGCAAAGACCAAGCAGCGTGCTATAAATTACCTATGATGGATGCTTCCTGCTGTGGTGGATGACAGTAACAGACGTGGTGGTCCTGTCACTGACCCCCTCCTGCACCCCTCTCCTCCCCTCCGCTGCCAAACCACTCCACCCCGATTCCCCCACCAACACAACAGCCACATTGCACAGTTAGCTTTTCCTCTTGTCACATGCGTTCATACTCTAAAATGATAATTACTTCTAGGCGTTTGATGTGCTAAGAGCTGATCTCTCTGTAGAGGATTTCACGTACAGTACAGTGCACTTTACTGTAAATGCCATTTTCCAACTCCCGGTTTCTTTGCAAATAGCCAAAGAATAATCAGGCGGCATGGGGGCTAAACGGAAAGCGATAGTCTCGCTTCTCAGCAAGAAGATCCTGGATTTGAATTGCGGTCAGAACAGGGTCTTTCGGAATGGAGTTTTGCATGTTCTCCCCTTGCCTGCGTAGGGTTTCTCTGGATGCTCCGGTTTCCCCTGCACCACTAATAACATGCACAAATAGATGCACAATTCAAAAACATTGTGAGTAGTGGGTTTGGTCTGGATAGTCAAATTATGGATTATAATTAAGGCTAAACTGTTTGTTGTGTTTGTTTATAAATAAATAGTAAATAAATAGTCGTATGTAAGTATTAAACATTTCCTACGAGTGCTACGGTTTCTCATACCACTAAAAACATGCACAATAGGTAAATCCTCCAGCTCCGGTTGTCCTGACCAAGCCTAGCTTCAAGATCTGGACATGGGTCCCTGGGCACTGTACTACGGCGACCTTTGCTCCTGACAGACGCACTAGAGGCATCAGGAGGGGTCGAATACAGAGGACAAATTGCCCTACCGGGATAATAAAAAAAAGCACCTTTACTTAGTTATAACTTATTTATTGTGTTTACCTCTCCATCATGTTGACTGATTTGATCTACGTTTTTCTCATTCCTTCGTTGTCGCCCTTTCTGTGTTTATGAAATCAGAACTCAATCATATCAAAATGGAAAGCATTTACACCGGCTTATATTATTCTGTTTCCGTAATTGAAAATACAGATACAAAATACAAGTCCATTGGATTGACAATAACAGCTGAGCGGGAAACTGTGCTTTTACAGTATTCGTCAGTATTTCTCCTCCTTGTGAGATAAATAAAGAATATCTTATCTTATCTTTTTTGTCATTTAACTTGATAATAGTTTTTTTTTTCCTTAAGAATATTACGTGGGAAAAAAGGTCAACAATTGATCGTTCAACAATCATCAGGAAACCTTTAATGACAAATGGATGTCATCATTTTGGCTCTCACTTTGTTTGGGTCTTTCACCTAAAATGGCTATTAAACCCATATTTGTGGTCTTACCGAGACACTGTGAACATTTTTCAAGGCCCTGTTTGCTTTCTTTGACATGAAACTCAAAATCTGTTTCCAAAGATCATCCTTGATGTTTCAAATTTGACTGAAATCAATCCGTGGTAAATGTTAATTGATTGAACCGGATTTGGAAAGGAAGAAACCGGTCTAATTAAGGCTGACAGTTGACTCAGAGGATCTGTGTAGATTAGAACAAGGATCATGGGCAAAAAAGTCCTGAAAGTGTTCCACCCCAGACTCCACACAGGTCGGAACTAAAACCTGCAGCCACACCAGCCCTTTCTGGACCGGATTGCCTACCCCTGGTTTAGAAGCACACATTAACAAACACAGTCCTGTGGATGGAACAGATTTAGTCTCTGTCGGACATAGCTTCAGTATGAGACAGAGGAACATGACACTTGTCTGATCTCATGAATCCAAGTTTTAATTATTATACATTATATTATATTAAGATGACCAAATGATGAGAGCATGTGGTTTTATTTTCAATGCTTAGTAACATATTTAATTTTTATACACACCACACACTTCATGAGCTCATTATTCATTATTTTTGTCTCTATTTTTTATGCTTTTTGAATCATTTTTGAAATGTTAGAAGAACACAGTAAAAAAGACCAAATGCCATAATTAATTCCCTTTTGCTTTTCGTAGCTGGAAGCTGCCCTCCACCATCCTGTTCACTGCGCATTGTTGGGCTTCTCTGCAGCGAGCACCTCCTTACCTCAGGGCTACCTCTGGGTACGTATATACACCTCTACACACACTCTCACACCACATAATCCACAACAACATGTAAGACCGCATACTATTTTAACTCCTGATGAATCCCTCTTTCAAGACAATTACTGTAACATTTAAATACCCCATTTAGACTCTGTCCTCATTTATTAGCCCAGTATATCTTAAGGCTACAGCCATTTTTCCCTGTAAAATATCTCACTTACTTTGAATTAATGTGCTCTGAGTGCAGGAGGCAGCGCAATGCTTTATGATGAGGGAGCCAAACTGTACTGCAAGGCTATATACTTTTACATTGTCTGGACTATTGGGATTTGAGAAAAAGTGTAATATTTTGAAGGCAAAAGCACACTGGTTGCTATTAATCTTCAACGTATTGTGCACTTGCTTCATGAAAAACCTATGTATTCGTCACAAAAACCCTGTTCGGTCTAAAGTAATGTAACATGAACTCATTTTTTAAAGGCAACTTGCAACATTAGCATAAATATATGTTAAAAAGTATGATTCATTTATCGTGCATTATTTTTAAATGTTGAACTTACAGAGAAAAATGTCTTGACCGAAGCCCAAAATACAACTTTTTATAGTTGCTGGTTTTGGCTAAAATGTAAAACAGCAATGTAAAAATGTGCCACAGTATAACATAAAATGAAAATACAAGTGAAACCAACATTACTGGACCACCCTATATTGTCTTTGTTGAATTATTATATACAGTGTGAGTCACTATTTGACACTTCGGGATTGGCCGAGGATTAAGAAGATAAGATAAGATAAGAATTCCTTTATTCGTCCCACAGTGAGGAAATGTCGTTGTTGCAGCGCACATACAGTATAGGACAGTAGTAAGAGCACACAGGGAGCACACACTAACACACACATAACTAGCTGTAGATGCTGAAAATGCTTCAATACCAGTCAATATATATATATGTAGTAGTAGTGCAGTTATATACTGTACAGTTAAATAGTGCAGGATAATAAGTAGATGAGGTAAAGTGACATAAGGTCACTAAAAAGACAAAGTTGCTTTTTAGTCTCTCTATGAAAAAGATGTGTTATTGGCAAACATTCATGCAGCTGTGTAATATGCTAGAAATATGTACAATGCAATTAAATGTATTATTGAATAGCCCTAAATTACAACAGGTGTTATCTCGAGGACTTTACAAAAACGTTGATTTTCCAACACAAATCAGAGAATCAAAGAGTTAAACCAAGCCCCGTTGATCTTAGACGTTGGCCTAATCAAATCAATGACTTGTGTTCAGAGGCTAACCCGAAAGATTAGCGGAACTCCTCCATGTATGGGCATTTCTCTGGTCCTCCCGGTTCTGCGCAGTGGATGAGCTCCCATGATGCTTTGCGCCAAATAGTAACAAGCACAAGCATGCGTGTGTGGGTTAGAGCGGAAGGGAAATGAGCAGAGTTTGTTGCACTAAAGTGTGGATTTATAGAAAATGGTTGGGAAGTTAGTAATAGTTAGTTTTTTAATACCCTATTTAGATATTTTTATAGATCCATGGTTCAAACTCACAAAATGCAATGATAGAAAACACATAGAGCCACCTGTCCATAAGGGGCGGATCAAAAATGTCAATTTTTTTTTTGATGAAGTCCATAAATGTGGTTGAATGTAGAGTGTCTTGAAATATGTGTTTGTTTTAGACGGTAACAAATGTGATGGTCGCTGTCACTCCTTTTGCAGTTTGAAAACCAGACACCGGAGCTTAAACTTAAATTCCATACTTCTAATCTATGTGAAAAATAACAATAATGGTGCAAGTAGCCTGTGCTTTTGGTAAGAATAATTAATGTTTGGAGCATGCCCGCCCCCAGATGTTTCCACCTCCCTTGTCAAATACGGGCTTGTCAAATACGGCCTGACACTAATCACGTTAAAGTGAGATGGGCTGGGGATTTGTGTGCTTTGATCAAAGTAATGACATTGTGTATAATCAGACTGATATCCTGCACATCCCTATTTGCCAGCACCTTTCTTGTCCCACTTTTTACTAATAATCTCTCTTGGACAAACGTGTAGTCCATTAACTTATCAAATGATTAGTGCTGCAACAAATAATCAAAGTAGGAGTGAATATAATTTATGAGGATTTTTTCTTTATATATAATTAAGAATAAGTACAGTTGTGCTTGAAGGTGTACTGCTCTGGGCAGAAATGTAAATTCTTGCTGTTGTTGCCATATTTCAAAGATTATAAATGATGCGAACACTTTTCAAGCTCATTGTTAGTGGGTGTGATGGCTACTTATTTTCATATTTGAATGATGACAGAAACTACTCTCCTGACCCTGATCTGAGTTTACCATTCCCCAGTTCTCAACATTGTGTGTATTTCCCCATTATTATTGTTTCTTTATTATACTAAAGCTGGAGATTTTATACTTGCCTCTTTATTATGCTAAAGTTAGAGATTTTATACTTGCTTCTTTATTTTTCTAAAGTTAGAGATTTTAGACTTCAGATTCAGATTCAGTTTCAGTTTATTTGCCATTTGCAGTAAAAAAACCACATTGGAATACATTAGCAAAAAGTCTCCAGTGTGCACAGACAAATACAGACATAAAACAACATTAAAAGACAGAAATAAAACAAATAAAACAGCAAACAAATGTCACTGCGAAATCGATCGACTTAAAAGTTTCAAAACAAGTGCAAATCATTAAAGTGCTCTGTTCACACTGATAACAGCTTGTGGATAACGAGATGTCCTGCATCTCAGAGAGCGATATCTTCTGCCAGAGGGAAGAAGCTGGAACATGGCTTTCCCAGGGTGGCCAGAAGAGTCATTAACAATCCTAAGAGCTTTGTTTAAAAGTCTAGATTTACTTCTTCTTCTTTAGCATAGGAAAGACTTGCTTCTTTCCTTTGCTAAAGCTGGAGATTTTTTTTTTTTTTCATTTATCTTGTGCTCCTTATTTCTACTGTTTTGTAACTGATTATGCAACATTGAAATTTCCCCACTCTGGTACAAATAAAGGGTATCTTAATCTACTACTTCTAGGTTCTGTATCCTCTCTCTGATGGTAAAGTTGCCCATTATTCTTGGGAAACAGTCTCCAGTTCCTGTAAATTCCTGGTTTCTCTCGCATTATCTCTACATTTGAATGCGAACCGTTGTAATAGAATGACTGTGGATGTGATTTGTGTTTTAGGATTTCTCTATCGGTGCCTATTGACTGCGTCTTGGTTTGATACTTCCTAGCTGCACTCAAAAACACCTATATACACGTGCCTCAAGTGTATTTTATTGTATTATAAAGAAATGCAATTAGAACAAAGTGGTCCATTACACACTACTCTCACTCCAAGTCGTGCCCGCTCCTGTGTAATCCTAACCCTCGCAATCATTCAAACGTCCCAGAAGAAAGAGGCTATTTCACGAACCAAACTACCCACCACTTCACCAGGAAAAAAGCCACCAATCAAACTTGGATCATCCGTGGCTTTGTGGCGTGGCGTTACTACAACACCCTCACCTCCCAGTGCATTTATGAAGTAGTAAGCGTTAGTATTTTTCAGTCTAGGCTGTGACCTTTTTGTGCATTGAAAACCAGCGGTAAAGTGAATCGCTGGAGTCTGGAGGTTGGCTATCGTTGAAGAAGAAGTGAAGAAGCTTTGTTAGGGCGCAGATAGATATAGATTCTCTTTTAGCTCTGGAAGATAAGTCTTTCCTATCTCCCCCCCCCGCCCCCATTTTTTTTTAGCCTGTGCACTGGACCATTATTTGTTCTGGCTCATTCTCGAGTGCCCACGAGGATTGCTCCTGTCCAGATTTGGCATGCTGATACAAATCAAACAAATGATTGCATGCAAATAAGGGTTGAGCGCGGCAGGGAAGAGCTAAAGACTATATTTAGCTCACGTCACATTCGCACAATGTGATTCAGAGCATACATCTACTGCAGCCGCGTGTTCTTGTGTCTTTTTTCTCCCCGAGATGTTTTGTTCTGTCCGGACATACCCCGGGATAATAAGTGAAATCATGTCGGAAGCCTACAATGATGCTTTAACTGTTTGGAAATGGGGAGAATCTGAAATGTATTAACGTCAGGTGGAAGGGCTCCTGCTGCTTCCTCTTCTGCTTTGAATTTCATTGAGTTTCCCCACAATGGACATTTTATTTGTGGTGCCACAGAATAAAACTATTTTTTTCCCACACAAACTCAATTTCCCATTATCAACATTAGTGTAGAAACGCAAACTGAATGGAAAGCAATTAATTAATATAGTAAATATAAAGATTTTTTTTTTCACCTGCAAATGTTGACATTTTTTTTTTTTTTACTGAATATGCATTTGTGTGTGAAAGCGGTCTTCCTTTGTTACTAAAATGTGTGCAAATGCGGTTGTGTTTCTTACATGTGTGCACATGTGGTTGTGTTGCTTAAAGATGTGCATATGTGTTTGTGATGCTAACATGTGTGCAGATGTGGTTGCGTTTCTCACATGTGTGTAGATGTGGCTGTGTTACATATATACAGATGTGGTTGCGTTGCTCACATGTGTGCAGATGTGGTTGGGTTGATCGCATGTGTGCAGATGTGGTTGCGTTGCTCACATGTGTGCAGATGTGGTTGCGTTGCTCACATGTGTGTAGATGTGGCTGTGTTGTTACTTATATACATATGTGCTTGCGTTGCTTACATGTGTGCGGATGTGGTTGTGTTGCTTTCATGTGTGCAGATGTGGTTGTGTTGCTTACATGTGTGCAGCTGTGGTTGTGTTGCTTACATGTGTGCATATGTGGTTGTGTTGCTCACATGTGTGCATATGTGGTTGTGTTGCTTACATGTGTGCAGATGTGGTTGTGTTGCAGTTGAATATCTTGCATGTGGTTTAACAGATGCTCAAATAAATACATATTAAACAAAGATAATATTGTACTTTGAGCAGGGCACTTCACTCTTGGAAATAACTTCTACACAAACATACACCCTGTGTTTGTTCCAAGATTATTTATCTTTTGTATAATAATAATAATAATAACCAGGAGTGAAACTACTCTTGAGGTTAGTGCGTTAAAGTCTTCCCCCGAAGTTGTTTCTTTACTTTGTCTGAAGATATTGAAAACATCTCATTGTTAAACAAGTGATAGCTCTCCCAAACCTACAAGAGCTTTCTCTTCTGTTCTGATGAAAAGACTTGAGCGTTGAAAAAATTGTTTGATCTCCGGAGATGACATTATGAATCCATTATATAATGTGTTTAAAGTTTGACTTATATTAAAATAATGTGAAGAGAAAGCTACAGACGACGAGGTCTAAAATGATCCTTGCCTTTATCTGAAAGGCTTGCAGCGATAGAGGATGTTAAAGACTAATTTTGCAAAGGTCTTCACTGTTTAACGCAAAGACACGGGAGATCTAAGAGTCCTCTCTTTAGCCATTTCCTCTTTATCTGTATTTGCCAACGTCATGTATTTTTATTAATAACTGTCATAGAGGTTCCCATTATTATACTAAATACCACTTATTTTCTTTCACATACACATTCAGTGAACGTAAAGTGATCCATCAGTATTTATTGACATTTATATTATTTAAGTTATCTTTTCTCATAAACAAACTGTACGATCATCGGAACATCTATAGCCTTATAATTTATGGCATAGTTAGCACTACAAATTGCAACACAAAGCTGGGTTATTATGCAATCTTTTCTTCTGATATGTACTCTTTAGTCCTGAACCTTCCTCTCTTCTCTCTCTCAGGTCGCTGGTGGAGGCGACCCATCGCAGGGGCAGATAGAGATCTTTTCTCTCAACAGGCCTGTGCCCAGGGCGGTGAAGAGCCTGCAGCTAGGCTCGGCCGTCCGTTGTCTGGAGTATATACCTGAGCTCTGTACCAATGAGGATGAAGCTGCACTTCCCAAGTCTCCCACCGGGAGCAGCTCCAACATTTGTATTGGATTGGACGATGGGCGGTAAGAGTCATCCTCACAAAACTGTCTGTGTCTGCACTGTACACACCGGCTTAGAGGAGTCAACTTTAAGAAGTAAAAATTTGTGAAAAATAAAAAAGAGACAATATTTACTTAATCAATAATAACTCAGTAATAACATTTTCTCTGAGGAATTTCCAGTTTTGATTGATTTAATCTTTTATGAGATTAAATCATATGTCCTTTCCAAGGACGATAAAGTTAGAGAGCTACTTCTTTAAATAGCCTTGGGAAACATTTGGGTATACATTGGTATGAACGAGCCTGATATTCATAATTTATCATTGCATATTTGTAACTAGTGCACACATTTAGTGCATTTACAATAACAAATAATGATAATGAATAATACAATCTGAAATGTTAAGTATATTATTTGATGTGTTAATTTCTCAATCCTTTGGCGAGCTACCTGGAAGGGGTGGCGAGCTACTGATGGCTCCCGAGCTACAGGTTGGAGATCCCTGCCCTAGATTATCATATATGGGGATGGACAATGCTAACTGCTAGCTCTACAAAGCCTAATATGGCTTCCTATGGCCGGTGTTTGTTCCAAATCACTTTGGAACTCATTTACTGGGAACATCTCTTTCTCTGTCACTACTCTCTCATTATCTTCTTCTACTGAAGCCAAATGCTGTGGGTGAGGTCACAGTACTTCTTCCTACAGTCTGTGGATCTTACAGCTTCAGGAGTGTGTTGTGTTGTGTTGTGTGATGTGATTTACTGATGTTTGTTTGTCTGAACTAACTGCATTATGGATAAACAAAAAGTTGTAATTTAGTGTTATTCATATTTATATAGAGTAATATTTTCTAGTATTTATCCACCACAATGGGGTAGACAGCTGTTTGTTTGTCATTATATTCAGAAGAAGACCATAATAGTGTGGTTCAGATGGCATTTCTAACATGAGAAAGACAAAGTGGTTCTACGTTAGAAGCTTCTTGCTTTGGAGTGCACTATTAAATCAAACCCTATGAAAACAAGGCACTCTGTCTTTTGAAATGACACTCATTCATCATGTTGGCTTGTTCTGCTTTGGTTATTCCAGTGTTCTGGTGTATGGCAGCGTGGACACTGCAGCACAGTGTGTGTTGACCCTCCATAACCCTGAAGGCTGCCCAGTGCTGTGCCTCAAGCACTCCTCTCACTTCCTGTTTGCTGGTTTGAGAAACGGCACCATCAAGGTTTATAGAAGACACCAGAGTGGTAAGATTAAATGCTACAGCAGTCCTAAAAGAACATTCTGTTACAGGCTGTGGTCACATGCACAGCCTAAAGCCTGGTTAAAGTGGGCTTGGGCCCACTTTGCGATTAGATCCGGGCTTTAGGTGCTATGTGATCACGGCAACTGGGCTTGGGCACGCTTGGGAGAGGTGGGCCTGAGCACGGTTGCCCAGATGAGGGGGGTCAATGTGGGGAGTGGGGGGATGAGGTGTGGTGGGGACATGATATTGTGCGTCACATTACTTCTTCCTGCTGCGCCCGTTGTGACACGCATTTTCACACACGTCTCAACAGCAGTCACATACTTTTGTATTCTCCCTGCTTGTGTTAAACCTTTCATGTCAGCCCCCGGACCGTGGTCAAGGGGCTCCGGGGAGTGTGTAAGTAAAAGTAAGTAAAATGTATTTATATAGCGCCTTTCTCAGACCAGGGTCACAAAGCGCTTCACTTTAAAAGCAAGATCAATACATACATATAGAGCATACAGAGTAAAGAAAAAACTATACAGTAAAACAAGTTGTACAAAGTACATAAACATCAAGATCTAAAAGGCCTGTCTAAATAAGTGCGTCTTGAGCTGACTCTTGAAGATATCCACAGACTCCAGGACACGCAGGGACAGGGGCAGCTCATTCCACAGGCGAGGGGCAACGGCCTTGAACGATCTGTCTCCTCTGGTTTTAAAAAAGGTGCGGGGGACCATCAGTAGGTTCTGCGTGGAGGACCTCAGGCTCCTGTTAGAGGTATAAGGCTGGATCAGGTCCTTTATATAATCAGGAGCCTGGCCATGAAGAGCCCTTAACGTCAGAGCCAGGATTTTAAAATTTACTCTATAGAGCCAAAGGGAAGCGTTTCCTACGTGGAATAACTCCCTCTGTTCTGACCCTCGCTGTCACAGTCTGGGACTATTCCAATAAAACTTCAGACGTTCAAGAATCAGACTTTATTCAATCGCAAGAACATACCAACACACACTTGTATCCTGCCTAGCTCCGGTCGCTCTGCTCGTATGCCACACTTTTCATTCTTTCATTCATTCATTTATCAGCGCTTACGCTCTTTAATCTAAAGCCCTCCCGTGCCCGGGACACGTGTGTGTGCGACGTGTCTCACTGAGCTGCTGCACTTTGGGTAAAGACACATCTCACACTTGTTCACATTGCTCTGATGCAAACAACGCGTTCCATGCTCGAGCTGTTACCGATACAGTAGCAGAATATGATGTAAACAGGAAGAGAAACTGAAACTTAACTCGGACAACAAAGTAGTCGCTGGAGTTAGTATTAGCGCCACCAGCTGGACAGAGCGTTGTACTACAGCACAGTTCATGGGTTAAAGTTGAAAAAATTCCTGAGCCTGAACCATCTATATGAATCATAGAATGATCACTAATAAGCGTTTTTTATAAGCGCCTTTATACGCTCATACATATAATTTATATCTATTTATTGCCAACAACTGATGTTTATTATAAACATCAGTTGTTGGCAATAAATACATCATCTGACTATTGAATTGTTACTTAAATGTAAAGCCTCACCTTGCCAAGACCTTTCTGCAAGTACCCCTAGTTTGGATTTGTGTAATAATGTAAAAAAAAAAAAAAACATACCACATCACAGTAAGTGAATATACTATTTTCTTTTTTTTTTTTTATTATTGATGTTATTACTAACATTTTATGTGTAAACTGTAAACTGATTAAACATCCAAACTAGACATCAGATATGACATACAAAAACTAAAAACACTGGATCAGGCAACAAGAACACTTCCAGATTCAACCTTAAATATATAAATAAACCTTAACTTTTAAATTCTACTTATTAAACATTTAGCTTTCAACACAAATAAATGAAACTAAAGTGCAAATGAGCTTTGTGCTGTGTGTCTTCATAAAGCACCTGTGTTAATTTTCAATAGACTTTGATTTGGTAAAACATTACAAAACAACACAAATGTTAACAGTACTGTTTGAAATATTCATTTCTTTTTCTTTTGTTTAGGGTGTGAATTATCTGTATGCTTTCTTTTTAACATGTTGGGCGGAGGGTTTAATGAGGAGGCTACTTTGTCTGAACAATTAAATAGAGGGAAAAAACCGCATGGTCCAGAGGAGGAAGCAGCTGGTGCAGAGGAGAGTTGTCTGGCTGGTCCAGAGGAGGAGGCAGCTGGTGCAGAGGAGAGTTGTCTGGCTGGTCCAGAGGAGGAGGCAGCTGGTGCAGAGGAGAGTTGTCTGGCTGGTCCAGAGGAGTGGGCAGCTGGTGCAGAGGAGGAGGCAGCTGGTGCAGAGGAGAGTTGTCTGGCTGGTCCAGAGGAGGAGGCAGCTGGTGCAGAGGAGAGTTGTCTGGCTGGTCCAGAGGAGGAGGCAGCTGGTGCAGAGGAGAGTTGTCTGGCTGGTCCAGAGGAGTGGGCAGCTGGTGCAGAGGAGGAGGCAGCTGGTGCAGAGGAGAGTTGTCTGGCTGGTCCAGAGGAGTGGGCAGCTGGTGCAGAGGAGGAGGCAGCTGGTGCAGAGGAGAGTTGTCTGGCTGGTCCAGAGGAGTGGGCAGCTGGTGCAGAGGAGGAGGCAGCTGGTGCAGAGGAGAGTTGTCTGGCTGGTGCGGTGGGGCTGCAGCCTTTTTATCATCTCCTCTGGACCAGCCAGACAACTCTCCTCTGCACCAGCTGCCTCCTCCTCTGGACCAGCCAGACAACTCTCCTCTGCACCAGCTGCCTCCTCCTCTGGACCAGCCAGACAACTCTCCTCTGCACCAGCTGCCTCCTCCTCTGGACCAGCCAGACAACTCTCCTCTGCACCAGCTGCTTCCTCCTCTGGACCATGCGGTTTTTTCCCTCTATTTAATTGTTCAGACAAAGTAGCCTCCTCATTAAACCCTCCGCCCAACATGTTAAAAAGGACATTCAAAATTCTGTCCACATTTGTTTGTGGACACTCAATGTTTAAGAAAAAGGTTTCCCTATCAACTTGGTGCTAGTGCACAGCGCAGTTTTATCAACTGCAAATGATTAATGATAATTAAATCTACCAGCGGTAGTGATGGTTCTGAACGACAGGTTATTTTCTGCGATAAAGCCACAGATAGTTTTAGGTCACAGACACAGTCCACCAGAGCAAGCCTAGTCTCAGTTGTCGCTGAATCTGATGCACCAGGTAAAGAAGTGTGGGAAAGTGCCCGGACAGCTGCCAAGTGCGCAGTTTTGAGCTGGTGGTGAATCCAAAGCTGTTTTCTCATTACTCCCATATAAAAAAATAATAATAGCGAAGTACGAACAAGCACCGGACACCTTCATCTTTTTGCACCATGAAGCAACAGAATCCCATCGTCTCCACCTCATCCAGCCATGCCAACCTCCATTTATTTTTCACTCCGTTATCAACAGCAACTTATACAGCTCCTTCTTCCATAAACAACGATCCATGATTGTGATTGTGCGTGCATGCTAGGCTAGCTTTGATGAATGAATATAAGACCTGCTAACACACATCTTTCTTCAGCGAGTTTCTTCCGTTCGCTCTCGTTGATTTGCTTTTTTATCACGCAGTTTTGCATGGGGATCGCCACCAAGATATTATCAAAAGCTCACCAAGACATGCTTGTCCCCATTCCCAGTCACAGCAAAGTACATATTGTACATTCCGTTAAATAAAAAAGCATTGCGTTTGGTAAACGTTAATTATGTCCTACCTTTCCTCTGATAACGCGCCCAGTTTACCGGTCCGCGGGCTGCTGGCTGTTATTGCTCCGTTCGATTACATTTTCCTTGTCCTCTTCTCCTTTTCAAAAGCTCCGTGCACTTTTCAGAAACTTTCACCTCCGTGTTACCATCGCTAACTTGGCTACGTCCCATTGCCTTGAATCATTTACGGAGCGCTCATGTAGCTAGCCACGGCACGTTCAAGCCCCACTCGTTACTTTTTATTTCTATATACATATAAATACAATTATATTCAAATTATTAATATATATCTAGATATATACAACAGATTCACACGTATTACTATATATTTTGTTATAATTAACCATTTCATTGTGTGTATTATATTATTATTATATATTTTGTTTTTTTTTCAGACCAATTTCATTTGACGGAAATCCGTCACTTAGACGGAACTCTTTAATCCCTGCGCTATACACATGCAATCCTTTCATACAATTGGTAGAACACACATGAACCTTTTTCAAATGACAGCAATCATTATTTATTTATATATATATTAAAAAAAAAAAAAAAGGGATTTTTTTTTTTTTTTTTTTCTCACGCCGGATTTCCGGCACGGTGCCGGAAAACTTTAAGCCCTGACAGTTGCTCTGGCACGGTTGAAAGAACAAGAATGTCCTTATAATAGTGTGGATGGATGTAAAAACCACTCCAGGTCTGCTTTAAGGAGGGATGTTGTAACATTTGATTAAGAGATTCTTGTATATACAAAGAGTAGAAACAAAGTGATTACTTGAGTATTGATTATTTTTCAAAAATTATTCCTTTTTAAATTAAGTGATTTACTGATGTTGTTCGCCATGTTAATCTTGTGGGAGTTCATCTGCTGCTTTGTCACTGATGACCTTTACTTTTCTATGTATCTTGCGTCACAGGAGAATGATAAAATCAGAGGCTGATCCTGATTAAAATTACGCCAAAATGTATCAATCTTTTCTTTTGATTTTATCCACACTATCTCTTTGATGTGTCTGTGTTTGAAATCTATTTTTCCTATTCTGTGATTGTAATTTTAGTTTCTGCGTTAAAACCTTATAAAGTCCAGATACTTTAATTGACACTTTACTGTGAACACACCCATATACATTTTCATAATATGTCTCCTTTGAGTATTGCATTTCATCTGAATTCAATTATTCTGTATTGGACTGAAACGCTATATTATTGAACACTATGGAGTCAAATTGAATATGTGGTGAAATCATTATGACAAACTGCCGGAAAGGGTTGTGCTTACTCAGTGTATTACCCCTGGCTAACTGTTTCCACAGACTATGTGTGTGTGTGTGTGTGTGTGTGTGTGTGTGTGTGTGTGTGTGCGCGTGTGTGCATGTATGCAGTGTGACAGGTTTATAAGCATTGCACTGAGCCAAGAGGCCTCTACACTATCTCAGCACAATTCACAGGCAGCACTAGCACAAAAGCTCTATCACCATTCATTCTTACCTGGCCACAGTAAGTCAGCCTGCTGCTCCTCTGCTCCTCCCAAGCAGAAAGAATGATTAATTACACCAAGCTGCTGCCTGCCGATTAAACATTACTATTCATTCTCTGAAAAAAAGAAGAACTTTCGGAAAGCGGCGAAGGCTATGAGGAAAATGTTTGTGGATTTGCCATGCAGTTTACAAATGTGTGCCCTTGACTAGGAGACTGCTGTCAAAATTCACTGCAGTAGTGAAAAAAACACCAACGCTTGAATATAGCCTTGTATCAAAAGGATAACAATGCATAAATCACATTGGAGAGATTTGAGGGAATGGTATATTCACGTCCTGTGAGACACATAAATCTTGTTTATAGAGAGGGTTTGAACAAAAATGTTTTATTGTATAAGCAACTTTCAAAAGCAAATGTAACACCACTTGAAACCAAAGCACTTCTCCCATGTGATTATTTCGTAATGACATTATAACGCAGGAAACTCAAACTCAGGTTAAAGTTTATGATGAATTTTCATTCAATAAGCTCCTGATGAAGAGTAAATAATTGAATGCAGCAATTGTTATAATATAAAGATAGCAAAGGTTGATATATTTGTTTGTATGCACCAAGGCTATTTAATGGTCTTCCCCAGGGCCAAATCAGAGCATAGTCATTGGTTCTACTTTGCAGCACTGCTCTAACTTGATAGTAATGAACTTTGATTTTACCATAGTTAGATTCAGATCTTAAGTCTGGTCACTGGTTTTTCTGAGCTTTGTGATTCTAAATCTGATCCATCGAATAATGTAATTGAACTGATTTACACTAGAAATTAAACTAACTAGTTATTTTATGTATTTCAGTCTCTTCATTCAGGCTACAATAGTCAAAAAAGCATAAACAAATGACTGAAAGGGTTTCAGATTAAGTGAAACCCTTATTGAAGCCAAACCCCATACAAATTAATTACTATTCAAAGCACGAAGCCTACGGCCGTTTCAACATCCAGCAAAATAAAACATAAAAAATCTCCCCAATGTATATTCACAATAATTGTCACACACACATTTCCTCAGTAAGGTGGGCTCAAAAATGAATAACTGTATAATATGAGAATTTAGATATTATTAAGTTCTAGTTCTTTATATACTAAATCCACAATTACAATGCAGTAACAGAGAAATACAAGCTTCGAAGCTCCCGTTTCATTTTCCCATTACTAATATTTTCTTCGAAATGGCACAGAAATCAAGAAATCACACACACTACCAGGGTATGATGACTAATCAGAACTTAACTTTTTTAAATATTTTAATACGATTTTTTTTGTTATGCTTCCGAATAAGAAATAATATTCTTATTGATGTTACAAAAGTGGAGGGCTGCTTGATAAAGAGCCGAGTGCTCTTGTGCTGACTTATTAGCATGTGGGTGGTAATGCTCTGTGGCTGTTGGCACACTGTGAGCACATTCACTGGAACTCAAAGCACTATTTTGTCAAGCTGGTTTTACATGGTTTTTTTTTCTCTTTGTTTCTAAATAAGAAAAAACCTGCACTTACTAATTGCCTAAGAGCATTCCACATTTCCAGATAATTTTCCTACACACACCAGGTCACCATGCTGTGTATAATGTTGTTGTTAGAAAAGCTCTTCACTGAAAATTGTTGTTGTTAATTGAGGTAACGTGGCAAGGTAGGTTTCCGTCAGGTTCTCTGGTTTCCCCTACCACTAAAAACATGCACAATAGGTCTGGCATGCGCCTCCTGTACTGGCAACCCCGCTCCCATCTCTGTGTGGAGTGAGAGGACGAATGCCCCAAAAAAAAAAAATAACAATTGTAAACCGCTTTGTAACTCTGGTCTGTGAAAGGCGGTATATAAATAAAGATTACTTACTTACTTACTTACTTAATTCTTTCTTCTTTATTATGCTAAAGTAAGTATAGAGTTATTTTTCACTTGTCTTGTGCTGTATGATCCTCATTCCTACTGTTGCCCCGTTTAGACTGAGACGCTGCAGAGACGCAAAGCAATTAACAAAAACAACCAAGTGCACAACATTTAGAAGACAGCTAAAAAGAATCTAGATATAGCGCCCGGCCAGTAGGGGGCAGTGGAACGTTGCAACACGACACGCGTGACCCCCAGTAGTATAACCACTTCCTCAACAACATCCTCCTCAGGCCACCGCAAAGACGTGAAAGAATACACAAACTTCATTCTACATTTACCATCAGCTGCAAAAATGGAAACTGAAACAAGAACTTTGCGTGGTTTTGTTTGGACCAACAAAGGAGTAGAATTCTCCTCCGTGTAAATTGCAAAGCACACTTGGCATTAGGTGACCCTCTGCCATTGTTGTTTTACTTAGTTCTCGGCATGTCCAACACCGTATCCATGTAAACTGGAGGCCAAACTGATACCCAACTCTAACGTTTCACTGTCACAGCATCTCAGCGTAAACACCACCTGAAATTACCACGCTGTAGGACGAAGAAAGAATCTCTTAATCTTAATCACAGCACATTAAAAAGACTAAAGATGAAATCCCTCTGTTGTATGCACAGCTGAACAGAACTATTTTTAACATGCAGATGAGCTTTGGGAGTCGGAGCCGTGCCGATCGGTGAGTTTGGGATCTGAACCAGTGCGGACTCTGCTGGTGCTGGATGAGAATGTGTGGGCGAGCAGCGGGAATACAGTCACAGTGATGGACTCCTCCAACTTCAACTTTCAGGTACGTTTGAAACCGGGAAAACATGTATGCTGCATGAAAATATGAACCAATTCAATTCAATGTATTCTTGTACATCCCTAAATCACAACAGTCATTATCTTGGAATACTTTACAAAACCGTTGAAATGCAATGATAAAAAACACATTGGTCAAGGTCCTTAACAGACTATTCCCCTCATTTACTTTTGCCTTGTGTTTTTATGTACTTTTCTGGTGCACTCTTGGGACTTTTTCAAATGTATTCAAATACATTTCACTGCAAATGGTGGATAAAATTGATCGCATTTTATCTAAACTCTTGTTTAGTAAAAGGTCAAGTCTAACCTAAAATGTGCCCTTTAGCCATCATCATATACTGTAACTTGTACATAACTTGTGTCACTACAGGACATAACATATGATTGTTGTGGCATAACAACAATGACAACAAGTCTTTTGTCAAATGCATCCTACTTTTGACATTATGAATTGTTTTTTTGTCATGCTAAGTATTTTATATTGACGGAACACAGCAGTGAAGTGTTTTCTGGTTCATACAGAGATGTGTCATTTCTGTCTGAATAAAACCACCACAAATCCTTGGCTATTGTCAAAGCTGCCAGGTGGTATTTAAAAGACAGAGAACCAGTGAATGCTTTTCTCTCCCTCTGTCTGCCTCAGCTCGACATAGCACAACTCAAACCAACCAACGTTGTGTGTTTATTGAAATCATTTCTCCTATTGCTTTAATCCCGGAGTAGGATAATTGCAAAGATAAACAAACATTTTATTCAGGAACATTTTTAGGGGTCTTGTGAAAGCGATGATTATTTTTTGCACTTAGGCAAGGCAATTTTATTTGTATAGCAAAATTCATACACAAGGCATCTCAAAGTAGTCATAAATTATCACAATACATTAAATAGAGTGAGTTGTATGCACAGCTTGGATTTGTCAGAGATGAAGCCTGTCCCACATTATTAGGAAGAATGTTCTATATTTTAGCTGCATACATCTGAAACACTGCCCACTGACTTTTATTTTAGTTCTGACTGCGGGCACCACCAGCAGTCCAGTCTCTGTGCTCCTCAGAGTCCGAGTTGGTTCATATGGCACTAGCATGTCACAGATGTCCGAGGCCATGGAGAGACTTGTACACAAGCAGAGCTGATTTAAAAGAGCAATATGTAAAAATCTGGCCAAAAGTGGTACTGCAGTCACAGTCAATATTTTGTAGTCCTCTCCCACTCTCCCTGACTCAGGTTGCCAGATTCACACCAAATCCAGCAGCAAACACAGGGAATTATTTTATCAGTTGTTTGTCCGTCTCCATTCACATTGCCATGACAGCCGTGCTAATGCTGAATGAATGTTTTGATTAATGTTTTTTTATTATTATTATTTGGACATTTGAGATAAAAAACAAAAACAAAATAAAAGCAATGTAATTATACATAGTTTATGCAAAATAAATAAGCAATTGATGTCCAAAATAGGAGTGGGAAGAATGGATGTTGGAACGTATTTCTTCAGCGTATCAACATCAGGGTTTGCTCAAGAGGATATCACCTTTCAATTTTATTTATTCCCTATTTTTTAGACAAACATGTAAAAGTCCCACATCAAAAAAAGACTAACATTATTTTAATTGGGGTACATGTGGTCTTAAATGATTATTTTTACAATTAAGCTATAATCTGCAAAAAAAAATTCTTGACCTTCATCTTTTACTGTTTTTAGAGTAATCTGTCATAGAATGTGATAACATGCAATAAATACAAAAAGACATAGCCCGGGATCAAACCCGGGTTCCTGCGGCGTAAGCGCACACCTTCCCACTAAGCAAGCCGACGTTGAATCAACGTAATTTGAACGTCGTTGTCCGACGTAGAATATAGGTCACTGGTGGGTGCAGAATGAAAGTTTTCTCGACGTCGTTTCCCGACGTCACCTCAACCTCCAAATGTTACGTTGATGGCACGTCAATTCAAGGTTTGAATGTGGTACAGAACCGGTCGGGTCTGACGTCCTATCAACGTCTTATATGACCAAAATATTGACGTTTATATGACGTTCGTTTTCAGTCGTTCCCACTAAGCAAGCAGATGTCAAAACGATGTCATTTCAACGTCATCTGGACGTTCATTCAAGGTTGCAATGTGGTACAGAACCGGTCGGGTCCGACGTCCTATCGACGTCTTATATGACCAAAATATTGACGTTTATATGACGTCCATTTACAGTCCTATTGACCTATTAACCTCTGCAGAATCACTCACTGGTCGAGACATACTTTTTGCAATAGGCAAGGCAAGTTTATTTGTATAGCACAGTCAAAACAAAAGGAAACTCAACGCACTGAACAAAAGATAGAAACAATCAAACAAGGCATTACAATTATAAATATTGACAGTAAATTAAAAAGATACAAATAAAATCTCTCATAAAATCTCTCAGTTGAAGCAGAAACAGAAGTGTTTTAAACCTGGATTTTAACATTGTCAAAGAAGAAGCCTGTCTCACATTTCCAGGAAGACCGTTCCAGATTTTAGCCTTGTGAATCTGAAATGCAGCTATATCATGTTTAGTTCTGACTCTGGGCAATAAACGATAAACACAGCATTCAAAAATCATTAGAACAACTGTAGTAGAAGGATATCAGTCATTACTGCAAATGGAGCTGCATTAAAAATCATGTTTCTCTACATCAAAGTACAGTACAAGAAAAAGGACACAGGGCACAGTGTTATGAACACTACTGTACTGAACACTACTGTACTGAACAGTTCATGCCAAAGTAAAAAAACATGATTGTAGCACCTATGTTTGGATCAGTATTAAAACAGGCACAAGCTACTGTACACTCTAGGTTCCCCAGATGATAAAACACAATCTGAAAGGCAGAAGAATGCATTTATTGAATGTTGATGTTCCAACATGTGTCCTCTCTTGGTCTTCAGTCTCTCATCACAAGGTCCAAGCACAGCACCTGAAAATGTGGAACATGTTTAGTTTCAACATAATGTGGCAAAGTGATATAACAACACATAACTTTCTATTAATGCCTCAAACCACTCGATCCATCACCATGTGATACAAACCTTGGCACTGCACTAGCTCGAGACACTGGAAGACACTCCGTCTGAGAAACTTGGGATAAGGCTTTGGTCATTGGAGTAATTCACCTTGGAGAGACCCATGAGGAAAACGCATTAGACTTATTAGATTTAAGCATGTTTATTGATTGAGCATGTTTGGCGCCCTAGGCCCGGGCGGGATGCTGTTGAGCACGGCGCTTGCTCGCGTGCATGATCCCCCCGGGGCCTAGGCACTGGTGACGGCAGAGGCAGTAGGCAACACGCTTCATGCGAGAAGGAGGAGGTGGGGCGGCGGCGGCTTGCAGACTTCAGAAGATCGGGAAGTGGGCGTCTCCGGCTTTTAACTTGCTGTCCTGGTGGTTATTGGTTGACTGGGTGTGGGCGTTGCTGGTATTGATGAGTCGAGGAAGAGCAGCCTGTGGCCTGGCAGCAACAGCCGGGTCTACCACGGTGAACTTTCGCGAAAGCTCCATTTCACCTTGGAGAGACCCATGAGGAAAACGCATTAGACTTATTAGATTTAAGCATGTTTATTGATTGAGCATGTTTGGCGCCCTAGGCCCGGGCGGGATGCTGTTGAGCACGGCGCTTGCTCGCGTGCATGATCCCCAAAAAGCGGGCCTGCGATTGGGATAGCAGGACGCACTGCGCGGGCCTGAGAGCATGAGCGAGCTGAGAACATGCGCGCACGCGCATGTTCAGCCAGCCGCTGTAGCAGAGGAATCTTTGAGCGAACTGAGAACATGCGCGCACGCGCATGTTCAGCCAGCCGCTGTAGCAGAGGAATCTTTGAGCGAACTGAGAACATGCGCGCACGCGCATGTTCAGCCAGCCGCAGCAGAGGAATCTTTGAGCGAACTGAGAACATGCGCGCACGCGCATGTTCAGCCAGCCGCAGCAGAGGAATCTTTGAGCGAACTGAGAACATGCGCGCACGCGCATGTTCAGCCAGCCGCAGCAGAGGAATCTTTGAGCGAACTGAGAACATGCGCGCTCGCGCATGTTCAGCCAGCCGCAGCAGAGGAATCTTTGAGCGAACTGAGAACATGCGCGCACGCGCATGTTCAGCCAGCCGCAGCAGGGGAATCTTTGAGCGAGCTGAGAACATGCGCGCACGCGCATGTTCAGCCAGCCGCAGCAGAGGAATCTTTGAGCGAGCTGAGAATATGAGCGCACGCTCATATTCAGCCAGACGCTGAAGCAAGGAATCTTTGAGCGTTTGAGGAAAGTGCGTGCCGCCACCAGAATCTTATTGCTTACTTGCTTTGCTGGGAGCTTACGAGGAAGCCGGTAGACGTTGTGCTGCCATGATAGCGGTCGCATCTGGCCTGATGTAGGTGGAGAAGCCGAAGAGGACCAGCGCCCCAGCTGTTGCAGAGAAGAGTGGGGGAGCCCCAGCGAGGTCGCGCGCGTGGCAGCGCCTATCCTGTGGCAGCGCCTATCCTGTGGCAGCGCCTATCCTGAAGGAGTGGGCGTATAGAGCTGGGGAGACAAATTGCAGACTTCAGAAGGAGCAGTAGTGATCTTAGTCGAGCTCTGAACCAGGTTGCTGTCATGGGAAGAGTGTCTGGAGTGAGAAAGAGGTCCGTTAAGATTTCCTTTTTGCAGCGGAGGCGAGTGTAACGCATCATGGACCTGTAGGGGCAGAGAGATGTGTCCGAGCGAGCTGTTACTATATTGCAGGCTCCTTGATTTTTGAATGTTTGAGACGGAGGTTGAAATGGTCAGGGGACATTATGTTGGGTGAAAAGAGCGACCTTTGTGTAATGCTTCCACTACGTCGAGATTATCCCACGTGACAGAGATCCTCTCTCTGCCACGCGTGATTCCACAGCGCGCAGGCCACGACCACTGGGAATATCACGTGTAGGGCAGAGGAGATGCTCCGGTGGAAAGTAGCGGCCACGCTCGGCAACCAGTGGT